GCGCGGAGCCACAGAGCCTCCCCGAGGAGGAGGACGGGAAAGGGGAATGAAATGCACCCCTTGCGGAGCGCTGCACCCCGACGTGAGCCGGGTCCGCCTGGGGGCGCCCTTTTGTGAGTGGCAGGAAGGTGCTTTCTGTGCTTAGGATGCAGCTGGTCAGAATTCAGACCTGAGATCTGAGATGCGCCTGCGTGACGCTAGGATGCCAGGGCCCTCGGGATAGGGACCAGGATCCCGACCCTGGCGGGACCAGCGTCCCCTGGGACTGGGGGTCCGGGCATCACTCACGTAGTGGTCCCTCAGCGCCTTGACCGCCTCCAGCGCCCTGGGGTCCAACCAGCGGTAGTGAGAGAGGGAGCAGCGCCTGGGTTCGGTCACACCGGGGTCCGCCACCACGTTCACTGTCACCAAGACCCACAGCCCCACGGACACCGCGGCTGCACCACTGGGCCTCATCTCTGCTCCTGCACAAGGACAGGGACGTCGGGCAGTCGGAGGGGAAGGCCCCGGGTCCAGCCCCTGCCTCCTGTTAGACTGGCAGGGGGACGGATGTCAGGGGGCTGGCTAGGACCCCTCCTGCCCTCAGGCTCTCTCCCCTCACTGCTCACCTGCAATGTGCCCTCCGTGCTGGAGCTGGGCTTGCCTTCCTCTGTCCCCTGCCAGCTGTCCAGGGTGTTGTCCACCTTTGACAGCGGTGTCTGCACCTCCATGGCCGCTTTTATGCTCCTGACTGAGGAATGGTGAGCCGCTGGGCTTCCCCGTTCAGGTTAAGTTTTCGGAACATCAGCGCTGGACGCTGGCCCACTGGGATGCTGGCTTAGGCCTCAGGACTTTGCCTGCCTGTCCCTGGGTGCCAGCAATGGCTCTGCCCTCACCAGACTTATGCAACTCTTGTTTCTTTTTCTCTGGACATTTGTTTGTCTTCTCGGCCTGTATTGGTTTTTCTTTTGCACTCTAGGAATTAACCAAAAATACACGGTTTCCTTATCTTCCAAGGCACCTGGCAGAGGTGCCGGTAGAAGGATCTGCCTGGAGTTGGTACTGGGGGTTTCCAGTTTCTCTCTTTCATTACGCATCTCTGCCTGTCTCTTTCTGTTTTCTATCTTTCTTTATCAGCATGATTATCCCCCTTCTGTTCTTGCTGGTATTTCCTCATCTAGGTTTTTGACAAACTCTCTCTGGTGTCCATAGTCTGTTATTAAATTACTAGAGGCCTGCTGCATGAAAATTCGTGCACTGGAGGAGGGTCCCTCAGCCCGACCTGCCCCCTCTCACAGTGCTGGAGCCCTCAAGGGTGGGAGGCGACCCGGCAATCAGGGGAAGGTGATGCCCCATCACACCTCTGCTGCTGCCACTTTCAGCAGTGCAAGCCTCAGCTGGCCCTGGTTACCTGAGCCTCGGGCGGCCCTGGGCAGCTGGGCAGCCCCACCTGAGGATTGCCTGCATCTTGGATGGCCCTGGGCAGCTGGAAAGCTGCCATCTGAGACTTGCCTGCACCTCAGGCCAGCCCTGGGTGGATGAGGGGCTGAGGGGACTGGGCGCCGCCATCTTGTGGCTGTGGGCACTGCCATCTTTGAGGGTGGGACAGTCCATTAGCATATTCTCTTCTTGTTGGCTGTGGGCGCCGCCATCTTTTGCAACGGTGTGAGGGTCAATTAGCATATTCCCTCTTTATTAGATAGGCTATTTCTTACTTTACCAGTTAATTTCTTACCATAGGGACACATCGTTAGGTGATTCCATCATGTGCGAGCATCGTAGAGTGTCCCTACACACACTTAGATGGTGCAGCCTAGGCTGTATGGTAGCCTATTGCTCCTTGGCTACAAACCTGTATAGCATATTCCTGTACCAAATATTGTAGCAATTAAAACACAATGGTTTTTTATGTTTTCTAAACCTAGGAAAGGTACAGTAAAAATATGGTATAAAAAGATAAAAATTGGTTCACCTGTATAGGGGACTTACCATGAATGGAACTTGAAGGTCTTGATGTGTTGGCGAAATGGAGAAGTACGTTTGGAGAATAACAGACCTTTCAAGACTTTGCTTACTATTTGATTGTGCTCCCAGACATCCTCCTTTTATTGGTGATTCAGCCCAATATCAAGTAGTGTTTCTCCCTCCAAATGTCACCTCTTTGGTCCAGGCAACAGATCAAAGACTTATAGCAGCTCTTAAGGCCTACTACCTGAGGAGCTTTGCCCAGGCTATTGCTGCAACTGAGGAAGACACTGATACAACACCTGTGACTGTATCAAGAATTTTGCTTGGACTTGGGGTGATATCACCAAGGAGTGTATGACTGGCATCTGGAAGAAGACACTCAAGAGGTTGCCCTGAGGGAGTCAGTGAGTGAGTGGTGAGCGAATGTAAGGCCTAGGACAGTGGTCGGCAAACTGCGGCTCGCAAGCCACATGCGGCTCTTTGGCCCCTTGAGTGTGGCTCTTCCACAAAATACCGACTTCTGCGCATGGGCCACGAAGTTTCAATCGCACTGTACATGCACGCCCGCACGTGGTATTTTGTGGAAGAGCCACACTGAAGGGGCCAAAGAGCCCCATGTGGCTTTCGAGCCGCAGTTTGCCGACCACTGGCCTAGGACATTGCTGTCCACTACTGTAGACTTCACAAACACTGCACACTCAGGCTACACTAAATTCATTTTTCTTCAATAATAAATTAACCTTAGTTTACTGTAACTTTTAGTTTATAAACTTTTAAAAAGAACTTTAACTTTTCTAGTCTTTTTAACAACACTTAGCTTAAAACACACATTGTACAGCTGTACAAAAATATGTTCTTTTTTATATCCTTATTCTGTAAGTTTTTTCTGTTTATTTGTTTTCTTTACTTTTTAAATGTTCTTGTTAAAAACTAAGACAGAAATGCACACATTACCCTAGGTCTACATTAGGGGTGGGGAACCTTTTTCCTGCCAACAGCCATTTGTATATTTATAACATCATTCTCGGGCCAGTCAAAATTATCAACTTAAAAGTTACCTGCTATATTTGGTCTAATATTTAATGAACTAATTCCTAATGCCTTGGCAGGGCCAGACCAAATGATTTCGTGGGCCTTCTACCACCTTCGAACATGATGTTCTCCACCCCTCGTCTACAGTCAGGCTCATCAATGTCACTTTCTACCACCTCCACACCTCATCCCACTGGAAGGTCTTCTGGGTCAATAATACACATGGGGCTGATAGCAATGACTTCTTCTGAAATAACCTCCTGAAGGACCTTCCTGAGGCTCTTCTTGAGGAGGTGTCAGTCATTTCAAAAATATGTCCATGATGCCTTGCTTGGTTTGTTTCTTTTTTTCATCATAGATTTGCTTGTAAGTAGATAATATATCATGAACATTCCTCTCTATGAAAACATTTCAGAGTTCAGGTCCATGTTTTTAAACCTGCTAAGGGGCTTGTGAGCTCTGAAAAAGCTTGTTAAAACCTTCACTGTGAATTTTGGGGTTTCATCTTCATTTTCTTCTCCTGCAGTTCCCTTTTCTCTTCTTCAGCCATGAGTTCCTGTTTCAGTTCCAACAACTCCTCATTAATCAGTTCCTAAGAACCACCTCAATATCACTCTGAATGTCAACCTCCCCCAACCCAGGTTAAGGTTGTTTGCCATCTTAATTGCAGCCTGTGTATTTTTGCAACCTCATCATCCTTGGCAAATCCTTTGAAGTCATGGACTAACCTCTTGAGTGTCTTCTTCCAGATGCCAGTCATACACTCCTTGGTGATATCACCCCAAGTCCAAGCAAAATTCTTGATACAGTCACAGGTGTTGTATCAGTGTCTTCCTCAGTTGCAGCAATAGCCTGGGCAAAGCTCCTCAGGTAGTAGGCCTTAAGAGCTGCTATAAGTCTTTGATCTGTTGCCTGGACCAAAGAGGTGACATTTGGAGGGAGAAACACTACTTGATATTGGGCTGAAATCACCAATAAAAGGAGGATGTCTGGGAGCACAATCAAATAGTAAGCAAAGTCTTGAAAGGTCTGTTATTCTCCAAACGTACTTCTCCATTTTTCCAGCACAGCAATTCAGGAGGGCACCTTGGAAGAGGAGCTGGGTCATTCATGACTTTTGTACTGCTGTGGTCTGCGTGTTTGCCCCATTGATAGGTTGATGTCTTAACAGGCAAAGATGATGGTATTGGTAGGAGGGATTACTAGGAGGTGATAACTCTGGAGGTGGAACCCTCAAGAATGGGATTAGTTCTCTTTTAAAAGGGAAACCATGGAGCTCCCTAGCACCTTCTACCATGTGAGGAGAACTTGGCCTCCTGTAAGAGTGCCCTCCCCTGACCATGCTGGAGCCCTGATCTTAGACTTCCCGGCCTCCAGAACTGAGAAATAAGCTTCTGCTGTTTACAAGCCACCCAGCCTGTGATGTTTTGTTATAGCAGCCCAACTGGTAAGAGACAAATACTGTCCTTATAGAAAGATTTCCTGTGACCTGCTGTTAGAGACGCCTATTCTATTACAAAAACTGCTTCAACAAACAGACTATGGAATCTCAGAGGGATGGTGGGGATGGGTGGGCAGAGGTGGGAAGAGATCAACCAAAGAACTTGTATGCATATATGAATAATCCATGGACACAGACATTAGGGTAGTGAAGTTTGGGGGCAAGGGAGGAGGGCAGGCTAGAAGGTGTCAAAGGAGCTGGGGGCAGGGGCGGGATATGTAATACTTTCAACAATAAAGATATTTTTTAAAGAATTTAACAACAACAAAAGCTCTGGAGAACTTTCTTATTATGAGTACAACTCAAACACGCTCTAGGAACTGGATCACTCCTGCGTTACTGGTAGGAATGTGAAAAGGGTACAGCCAATTTGAAAACCAGCTTGGCTGTTTCTTATAAAACTAAATAGGCAACTGCTAGTCAACCCAACAGTTGCAGTCCTGAACATTTATAGCAGAGAAATAAAAATTTATGATTACCTAATAATCTAAATGCAGTGTTTATAGTGGCATTACTAGTAATTGTCCAAAATCTAGAAATGTCCTTCAGAAAGGGAATGGCTAAACAAATCTGGTGCTTCTATACCATGAAACAGGAATGAACAATTGATATACACAACAACCTAAATGAATATCCAGGGATATTCACTCAATAGTGTATGAATGATCCAGTTTCTCTGCATCCTCACCAACATTGGATGATGTCACTATTTTTTATTTTAGCCATATTGCTAGGTGTGTAATGATAACTCATTGTGGATTTAATTTGCATTCCTCTAATGGCTAATGGTATTGAGCACCTTTTCACATGCTATTTCCCATCTGTGCAACCTCTTTGGTAAAATGTGTCTTCATGTCTTTTGTCCATCTTCTAATTGGATTGTTTAATTTTTTACTGCTGAGTTTTTAATTTATTCTAGATACCAGTCGTTTGTCAGGTAGGTGGTTTGCAAATATTTTCTCACAGTCTGTAGCCC